GAAATATTTTAGTTATTTTAAAATTTACAAATAATTTCATTTTAAATAAATAAATCTTTATAAAATGTAGCCACAATGATTATGATAACATTTTATTTCAATATTCCATTTCCATGTTATTATAAAAGATTTAAACACAAAATCAATAACACCTGCAGCAGCAGTGGATGCCTTTAATACAATAAAACTATTTGTTATTAAAAAGTCATTTCAGAGGAAGAAAGACATGCATGTCTTTTAAAATATAGACAATCTGGAATACATCCTGAATAGGATTTCAGTGCAAAAACTGACATCTATAAAGGAATTTTTAAAAAGATCTTCATGATTCTTTTTATAATTAATATCTATAAATTTTCTTTTTATTTTCCATATTCATTTCTTTTCAACTGCTATATTCTTAAATTAGAATAAAATATTATTTGTAATTATGTTTCAAAAATATGCATTATTGCCATTTTGTCCCTGATGCTAAAAGTTAATCATGAAGATAAAAAATAACTACAAAAAAGTACACACAATGGTTTCAATTAATATCATTAATTTATATTACAAAGCTATTTTTAAAAATGTTATTTTAGCGAGTTAGATGATTAGCTAATCATCTAACCTTAATTCAACACTTCCTTTAAATCAACAGAAAGCTCTGATCCCTTAGGGTGTTGAATTAAAGAGGTTCGACTGTACTTCATTAGATGATAATTTTTTATCTAAATCTCAATTTGACAGTAGTCCTCTAGAACAAAGGACAAAAAAAGTACTTTATTCCTACAATCTCAGACTTAGAAAGATGATATCGTGATTTGAAAATGTTTCGTTTGCAGAAAGTCTAGAGCCAACATGAAGTGGCTAGTGAAAACAAAATTAATTGAGAAAAATCTGTTGAAGAAGAGATGGAAGCTCTCATTAAAAATCAAACATGGGAATGAAAGAACTCTCTCTCTCTCTCTCTCTCTTCCAAATTATTTGATAATTAATTAAAAAATAAAAAGTGGGTCTCCCAAATTTAGAGTTCGCTCTCTACTGAGCTAGATTGGTAGCAAGTTACAACCAGAGACCAGGCAGAGACTATAAAGATACTTTTGCTCCTGTCGTTTGATATAACTCAGTGAAAATCTTACTAGTGCATCTACAATAATGGGTATGGAAATATTGCAATTCGACATTAAAACAGCTTTCCTCCATGAGGATTTTGAGGAAGATATTTACTTGGAATTACATAAAGAGTTAGAGGTTGAAAAATAAAAAAATGGTCCGTAAGTTAAAAAAAAAAAGCCTCTACAAATTAAAATAGACACCAAAGATTTGGAAGGAAAGGTTTGCTCATTTTTTTTTTTTTTTCCTAAAACAGATTAATTTGAACCAATCACAAGCAGATCCATGTGTATTCTATGGATCCTATGTGTATATATATATATTATTTAAAAAAAAAAATGTTTTGTTGTTGTTCACTTCTTTATCTCTTTCTTATTTTGCTTCTTGGATCTTGCAGTCGAGTCTTTTGTAAGACTTTGAGTCTTAATGGGGGCTTTTGTTGTTATGTTGTATATATGTATGTGTATGTATATGTCATACTTACATAACCTTTCTTTTTCTTCTTCTGTATATTCCCCACTTTCACAGGCCTATCTCTCTTGTAATCTCGGGGAGAATCCTCTATAAGACCAGTGTGTCTTAATAAAGGCTTTTGTGTGTGTGTATTCTATGGATCCAAAATAATGCTAAGATGGGTCTCTATGTAGATAATGAACTAGTTGATGAGCACTTTGCCAGTATTGGGCTCAATATTTATCTTCTCACTTTGTGATCCCTACACACAACCATTTTTGGAGCTTAGAAATTGAGAAAGACATTGTTTCTAAGCCAAAATAACTAGGGCAAAAGGTACTCGATAGATTCAACATGCTTTCATGTAATTGTTCAGAAACTCCTTTCGATCCAAATGTAAAGCTGTCTAAAGGGAATACAAGTGAAAACCAAAACATAGGAAATATTCTGTATGCAGAAGCGATAGGATGTTTGATGTTTCTAGCTGTCTCACACATCCAGACATATCTTTCGCTGTTAATAAAATAAGTCAGTTACATCTAATCCAAATCAAAGTCACTGCAAAACTGTTAAGGGAGTTTTCAAGTTTTAAAAGAAAATCAGGACTCGAGTATTTTATAAAAGAACAGATAATATCAAATTAATTGGATACTCAGACACTGTCTTCACTGGAGACATTGATTCTTGAAAGAACACTGTAGGGTACGTTTTTCAACTCGCAGAAGGATCAATCACTTGTAGTAGTCAAAAGCAGTTGGCGGTCACCCTTTCTACTACTGAATCAGAATACATTGCGGGAAGCTGCATGGCTAAAACTGTTAATCAGTGAAGTTATTTCACAAGATTGTCAACCTATTCCTATCATGATTGACCAGAGCAGAATAAATCAAGAATTTCATAAAAGGACAAAACATGTTGATGCCAAATTTCATTTTCTAAGAGAACTGCAATGAAATGGAAACTTATCAACTGCTCAGCTAGCTGACGTCTTCACCAAGGCTCTGCCAACTCGAAGCTTTCAAAGATTTCTTAAAGACATTGGAGCACTGGACCACTTTCAAGTGGAATTGTTGTTGCAAAGGTGAAAGCAATAGTCACACAGCTGACTCCTGCGGCCACCACAAGCGGAGCTAAATTTAGACTAATGGTCTGTCAGCTCTGCCTTTGACTACTGTACATAAGCCTTGTGATAAAATCCTTTTTTAAAAAATATTCATCTTTTCTTAATAAAAAAAAAATATAATTTGTTATTATCACTGTTTGATAATTTTAAAATATCCAAAATGTTCCATATTGATGCTGCAAGAAGAATGCTGCGAGAAAAATAATGAAAAGCTACCAAGAATAACTTTCAAGATGCTGAGGGAATCTTTGAATGAAACACATAAGATCCATGTTGCAAGCCGTGATAACAGCATCTAAAAGGAAGGAGTTTTTTTTTCATTATTTTATCAACAGGTTATTAATTTGAATATTTTATGAAATATATTTTGTTTTGATCAAAATGATATGGTAAAAGTCGGATTAAAGATTAGGAACCTAAGGTATCAAGACCACATCCAAATGAATAAATTATATGTGATGTTTTGTGTGTGTTGTTACTGAAATGTCATACATAATTTATTCATTTGTAGATGTTATCAGGATACTTTGTTTTGTTCAAAATTGCCTTGTCATACAAACATTTGTATTGTCACAATATTAATAGCAGCCTTGTTATCAAACACAATAAATAGATAATTGAAATAATGATACAAATTATTTCCATCAAGGAAGAATTTGAAATGGGACTGATGACCCATGGGGCAAAATTAAATGACATTCTTAAATAGACCTTTCGTGGTTTTATTTTCTTGACCTTATTTAGCGGCTGGAACTTCAACAGGCTTATTTCTTTGCAAGTGGTCCAACTAGATTGCAGTTTTCCATTGAAACTTATATAGCACACATTTTTTTTTTTTTTTTTTTTTATAATGAATACTTTTTAAACTTGAACCATCATTTGTTCATGTTAACTTTCCCCTCAAATCCTCTCAATTGAATTTAATAAAATTTATAAATACATAATGTAACACTAATTTGCAACACCAAAAAGTGGGGGAAAAAGTTGGGAGAATCTGCATAAAGAGAGTACCAGTAACAAACAATAAATTATATTTTTTAGAACAGAATACACCTGTACAATAAATGACATCGCCATTCACTGTGGGTGGCTATACAAGCAGCAACATGTATTGGTACTGACTCAATGAACATGCGGATGGCCTTCTGAGGGATGGCTTCCCATTCCATGTCAACCATTATCCACAGTTCATCTTTGTCTGTGTCATCTTCATCGCGTCTGTGTCAGCATGTGCAAACGATATCCAATTAGGTTCCAGATGTGTTCTATAGGTGAGAGTCAGGAGAGACTGGTGGCCACCAAGGCTTCATGCAGGGCATGTTAGCTGATGCATGCCGGGTGAGATTGAGCGTTATCCTGCTAGAAAATGGCATTTGGTACCCCCTGAAGGAAAGGCCGCAGCATGTAATCCACATATTTGGGTCATCATGATGCCCTCAATAAGAATTAGAGGTGATCTGCTATCATAAGTGATGGCTCCTCAAACTATAATTCCTTATTGTCGTGAGGTGAGGCATCCCACAGATGTGGTTGGATTGGACTTGTCACCAAGACTGCGGCAAACTCTTACTCAGTGAATGACATCGCTAAAACAGAAACATGGTTCATCTGTGAACACTACCCTGAGCCATTCACTGTCTTAACGGGCACCATGAGTATATGTCACCAATCTGCACATAATGGTTTTGGTTTATATGAGAGAATCAAGAGTATCCTGCACATCCTGGAAATGGCGACAAAAGTGAACTGTGGGGGCACCAACGCCTGCTGACATCCCTCTGGCCAAACCAGCACCCCTACAATTCCTTGTTCTAATCATCTTCGCCATAGCCAGTGCAAGGTGGACGCATTGAAGTGTCTGTCCTTAAAGATTTGACATATAGACCAACCGGCCCTTCCGAGTCCAATCACCATAACTCTATTAAAATTGTCTGTCTGCTGGAACTGCCTTGAATGGCAGAGCCTTGCATTCTCTGCTAATAAACATTTCTCCGAGTCAAAAAACAAAAATTTCAAATACTCTCCTTGTCAAAAAGATAGGTACGAATATTAGAAAATTTAAAAGTTCCTTGTAAAACGACATTTTAAAACTATTCCGCATGAATTTCTTTTCAATGAAAAATCAAAATTTATTTCAAGGAGAAATAACGATTATTTCTAACCTTTGGGATGAGGTATGAAAAGGTGAATTGTGAAGAGTAATGATAAACGGAAAAATAAAAGTGTCCAGGGATGGGAATCCTGTGGGAAACACTGTTCCGCTTACCGGGCAGATGCCATGTCCACTAGGCTACCCTGGACATGTATTATTTACGAACAGAAAAATATGTCCAGGGTAGCCTAGTGGACATGGCATCTGCCCGGTAAGCGGAACAGTGTGGGTTCGATTCCCATCCCTGGACACTTTTATTTTTCCGTTTATCATTACTCTTCACAATTCACCTTTCCCTACCTCATCCCAAAGATTAGAAATAATCATTATTTCTCCTTGAAATAAATTTAGATTTTTCGTTGAAAAGAAACACATGCGGAATAGTTTTAAAATGTTGTTTTACAATCACAAGCTGCATTATATTATATTAAAAGTTCCTCCTCTCATATCTCAATCAACATGTATGGAATAGCTGCACAATTTGCATAACTCAGTGAGCTAATTTGACCATGAAATTTGCATGTTGACAAAGGGGATTAATTTATTGAATTTGTGACGAGCTTGTTTCTAATTTAAAAGAACACATAATACATAAGCACTAAAATCTTATTTTCCTTAAGTTACCTTAAGACTGAATTAATAAATTGTGCATGAGGTTTTGGTAACAGTAACAGTATTAAAAAATAGTACAAATGTAACATTGTACTTGGATAAGGTGCGTAAATTAAGAAAAAGGCTTCTCCTTATCGTGCAACTGAAAGTTGCTGATGGCTGGCGCCATCTATCGGAATAAATATCGGAATTCCGATAGATGGCGCCAGCCATCAGCAACTTTCAGTTGCACGATAAGGAGAAGCCTTTTTCTTAAAGTAACAGTATTGTTACCTTTCACATATTATTCAATGTTCAATTATCATGAACTAGGTTGCTCTTGCTGAGCGGTACCTATTTATGTGAATTTGAACCACCATTGTTACCGTAAGGTCACACACAATTTATAATATATTTACCTTAGTTTCTAGCCTATAATTATACTTATTCTCTTTGATAAAGGGAGACAGCGCGGGTTGCCAAAATATCATAGAAATAAGTATATGGTGAAAATATCTCAAATTCATTTATCTACTGTAGTACTCTCTGTAAAGAACAACACTTAATTGAAGAGCTAAAGTGTCCTTCATAGAGAGGTGTCTGCTAGCAGTGGTCCTCTCTTGGAGGTTCCATTAAAAAAAATTCACAATAAAGACTAAGATTTTCTACCTTTAGATTGTAGTTTTTTTAATATAAACTAAGAACCTCTTTAAAAGTCAACTTTATTCCAAGTGAGAGTTGCTAAATACATAGTGTTTATTCAAATTCAGTTAAATAAATTAACATAGGCAATTTGGTGAAAAAAAAAAAACCCCGGAATGAGAGGGCATGGCTCATCAGTGGTAAACTCTACCAGAAGTCAAACTAAGCCATTCTTTTTTACAGTACAAGTCTAAAGAAAAAATTTCAAATATCAACAAGTAGCATTAAAAATTTGTATATTAATTTTTCCAATAGATGGTGCTGATATATTGCTATCAAATGTTCTGTAATCTAAAAGATAATTTGAGAAAACTTGAACTGCAGTTTCATTTTGGTAAAAATGGCAGTTTTAGCCAACCCCAGTCTTCTCCACAAAATAAAAACTACTAGATACATAATTTCTATTTATTCCTACACATCCATATACTTATATAAAATCATTTCACACAATATGTACAAAACTTACAAGGCACTTGTATTATAAAAGAGGCAAACAATGGAATTGAGTAAAGGAAACTCTGAAAGACTAAACAACAACAATGTTCCCAAGTAATGTTCAGCTCAGAGACATGACGAAGTTCTTCACCACTGAGGGAAGCTGGGCATCTTTATACAGGCCTTTGTGGCCATACTGGGGGAACTCCACCATGGATACCTGGCAGCCTTTTCTTTGTGCCGTGGCAAAAAGCTGACGTCCAAGATGAACAGGCACCATGGCGTCATCCTCTGCATGGAGAATTAGAACAGGGGACTTCACATCTGCAATCAGAGCCTCGCTGTCTAGATGTGTTTCTTCTGATTCCAGGCTTCTGACAAAGACAGATTCAAAGTAGGGCATGTAGCGATGGATGATTGTAAGGGGGTAATAGCGTGCTGCATCTGACACTTTGGTGAAGGGAGCCTCTAGGACAAGGCCCATAGGACATCTTCCTTCCTTGCAGAGTTCTGCAACCAAGGCTACGGACACTGCTGTTCCCAGTGAATGGCCCCATACAATAACCTGGGAGCCTCCGTTGCGCTTGACCCAGTCATACACAGCCCTAGCATCGCGCACCAGGCCACGCGCAGAAGGTGGAACATTTGTGGAATCTCCAAATCCCCTGTAGTCGAAGGCCACCACAGGCAGGTTGACCTGGTCTGAGGTCAGTAGCTTGTAGAGCTCCACTCTGTGGCCGCCACCCCTTGTGCCGGCATTCCCATGCACATACACTACCACAGGCTGCGCTGGGTCAAAGCGATTTCCCTCCTGGCAATCCTGGGGCAGCTGAATGTTCCATGTGCCCAGCTTCACATTGGCCTCACTCTGCAGGTAGAGATTGTGAGCACACTTGAGGCCATAGGCGGCTGGCTCTGAGAGATTGCCCACCCGGGACAAGGACACGTAGTTGAGGAAGACGGAGTGGCGGCGGATGGGAGGGTAGTAGAGGAAGAGCAGGGGGATGACGACATAGACGACCACCAGGAGGACAGCCAGCACCTTGAACCATCTCCTGGAGTAGATGGGACTGGATTTGGTCTCCTTTGGTTTCTCCTTATACTCAATACCATCGTCCATGGCTGTCGGTGTGGCATCTGCACCTTTAGGACCACGGGACCGAATCATGGTGCCTGCACAGAGATTTAGAATTAGATTCCAGAATAATATCTGAGATACATATTTATACAACTATCATTGCTCTTTAAAAATTAAGTCAAAAACAATGTAATGTTAATATCTAAATAAATAAAAGGTATTTTTCATATTCTGAAATGGTGTAGAACATCATGTAAAACATTTCTCTTCACACGATACATTATTCCAAAGAGGTGTCTTGAGGGTTTGGTAGTAATAATCTTCCCACTTAGAGGACACTTAGATGAGTACTGTTGGAATATTACAGAGTAACAATGGCTATAGATGAGACTGAGTTTGAAAAGGAACTTGTATGAAAATAATGTTTCTTTTTTTTTTTTTTGTTGTTTTCATGTAGACATATATACCAAGATTTGTTTTGTATAATTGCTATAAATAATATGCAAAGTTAAATTGGTTACAGATTCAACCTTCTAACTTACTTTAATTAACGATCCTGATCGTTACTTTAATTAAATAACAAGTACTCCCTCTAGATGGTGGTGGCAATAAAGTTTCCAAAATTATTTGGCCTATTACTTTGGGAGAATTTGATCCATAAATCTTTCTTTTTTTTTTTTGCTTATCCCTAGTACATGTGGTACAGGCCATGATAATCATGGTGGGTAGTTAGCGGACTGCTTTTTACTGTAAGCGCACCACATGTCTACACATGTGAAAGCAGTTCGACTTTGCACTTACAAATGTGCCAGAGCCCCGTTTGGTTACTTGCACTCGCTGGTGGGGTTGGACTTTTGCAAGAATCGGGGGGCCATTGGAGCATTTTTTTTTAAACAGAAAAAAAGTGTCCAATGCGGGAATCGAACCCGGGTCGTAGTGGTCAAAAACCAAACGGTTTAACCAGCCTTCCACCGACCCCCCGATACATAAATCTAAATTATACCTTATCAAAGCTCTTTTTGAAAATCAAATTAGAGTTTTAAAAAAAAAGTGATTAAATAAAGTCAGGAAAAAAAGCTAGTGATATCACTGAGCACATTCTGTACACATGGTAAGTAACATGTCTGCACATGCTGCCAGGTCTGGAAGGACAATCAACTGTATGTGTCACACTTGTTTATCTGACCCTGAGGATGACTGGCACATGGTAAACTGATGTGTATTGCATCTAGATGACTAGCTTTATTTCAGGTCAAAAATATATGGATTCTTACATAGTGTCTTCTATTTCATTTAATGAGGTGTATTTAGGGAGACTATGGACATAAGCTTGTATATAATAGGTTGATGGAAGAGCCTAGCTAGTTACATTACTTGTAATTACAGTAATACTTCTTTAATTCCACACCCCAAGAGATCAGAGCTTTCAGTTGATTAGATCATTTCACTTTTAGTGGACATTTTTCACACAAGGATGACCATAAATATAATTAAAATAATATTTTTAGAAAATATGCCGTTGTAATATACAGTAAAACCCCACTAATACGAACCCTGGATATAGCGAACCTTCCCTTATAACGACCCCACGGTGATTCCCGATTCCATTCCATTGAAAATACCATCGTTATAACGAACTTTGTGATTTTTAAAATAACGAACTACCCCTATAACGAACCTATTTTCGGTCCTAAAATGATAAAATCTTTCAAAAATACTATGCTTAAAACAAACTTAAAATTGTGATTGAAAAAATAATTTAAAACAACAAAATTTTGAGCATGTTTCAGCTTACGGATAGCGATTTCAAAACAAAAAATTAGAGGCATTGTTTGTTTTCATTTCCATTCTATTTTTGCTGTATGTTGTATAAATTTTTACACATTATACTTTTATTTAATAGAATATCTTTGCATTCGACAATTTTGAAATAGAAGAAAAATACAAATGGCTTCCAAAATAAAGAAAAGAAACAAAGAGTGGCGTTCTAAAAAAAAAAAAAAACAGTGGCAGCATGCCCTTTTAGAAGCGTTTTATATCAAGTTTAACCTAGGCTAAAAAATAATTCCAAATAATTTTAAAGCAAGAAATGGTTTGAATAACAGGTTAAAAACAAAATTTAATATACACTTCAAGAATATGTAGAAACTGGAATTGGAAAAAGAAAAAAAAAAACAGTTCCCCGTGTCTCATGGGCCACAAACAAATGGACTTATAAATTCTCAAAAACTACCACTACAGTTATATTTCTAGAATGGAATTCTTATTAGGTATATGACTCAATCAGGGTTCGCGTATATTCCCCCTGGCCGGCCGTTTTACCGCCAATTTTGTGTTTGCAAATTGGCGTTTTTATTCGCAATTTTACTGATCGCGCTATCGTACCAACATGTTTCGCGTCCGATTTTTCTGAATTCAATACTTTTGAATCATCCTCAATTGAT